CTAAAACGTAGAATTTTACCGGTTTTCAATATTCCATATTGTAAAACCAAATTTAAGAAAAAAACAATTTTCCTATCAATCAAAACATCTATATAATAAATTAAATAGTAGGCTTAATATGTATCCCCTCACTTGTGCTAAATTAAAAAATTTGCTAACAACTACTCTGCTTAGCCTCAACTATGAAGAAACAGAACTGCTTATTCGCTAAACACACACACACACACGCGCGCGCGCGCATGCGCACACACACACACACACACACACACACACACACACACACACACACACACAATACACACACTTTCACTCTTTCTTAAGTATAAAAATGTCATCAATTCATGTCTTAAGAATTGTTAAAGCACTAATATAATATGTAATATCCTATGTTTCAAATTGTTAAAATTTATCTGTTGGAAGAGCGGGGTACCCCGTAACACAGGTTTTACCAACCCAGTACAGGGGCCCTTGCCACTTGTTTGTTACTACCTTTTGAAACGCAATAAACAATTTTTAATTTTTTTTAATTAATTTTTTCTGGGCTCCAGAAGCAATCGGTTTGAAAACAGAATTTCAAAATATTTTATGAATCAGATTTTCAGATTCAATTAAGCAGATATGGTTTCTTTTGTACTCTTTTAGTTTTACCCTTATTGAATATAAAATATATTAGGTACCAATATTCAAAATTTAACTTACACTAAGTTCTTTACACAAAAATTAAACAGAAATAAAAATAAAACCGTCAAAAACCGAAACGTATAGATAAACTAGACGCGTGACGCCAAAATAACGTCTCATGGAAAAAAAGATAAATGAAACGTCAAACGTTATATATATTTTTTTAAATAGTATAATTTTATTTACCATGTACAATATTTTTAAGGGGCTGAATCCAACCCTGGCTCTTGGTAACGTAACTAAACTAACTGTAAAATAAAATTTTTAATATTTCTTTATATAATAATTTAACTGTAACAAAATTAATATAAAGATATTTACCGATGATACGATATCCCATGTTTTTTTTAAATATTTGTATCGTAATTTTTGCATTCTTTTACCACGCAACTAGACATATTTGTGAAAGGCAAATTTGTCCTGCGCGCGCACCACTGTCGACCGATTCGCGTTGGCCCTAAACTGTAATTTTAGGGCCAGCGCACTGGTCCGTTTTAGTTGTTCGGTCCACCCGGTCCTTACGCTAGTAATATATAAGTCAATTTCTTTACGTGAGAATTTTCGTACTAGATCTTTTAGTTTGTACACTCATTATATCTAGGCATGATTGTATTCCTTTTAGTCTGTTAAATATGGCAACAGAGGGAATCCCGTAGTATTGGCTAGGCGTCCGGTATGTTTTTCTTACACCTATTCGTTTTACATCTTCGACAGACCATTGAATAGCTGTTAAAGACTATAATGGATTCTTCTTTTTCTTATTATTTCCAGCCATGATTTAACTAACTTAAAAATTTTCCAATTACAGATTATATTGTCAGCTGTTATTCAGAAAAAAAAGTATCTATTGACTCCAAGATTGTGGCAAAACTACAATCTATCAGCCTTCTGTCAGCCTTTTGACATCTTCAGGTAACTCTATGGTGGTTGACTGCTAAGTGACTATTTAGCGTATTTAGGGTGAGTACTTAGCGGTCAGCCGCCGTAGAGTCTACATCACCTGAAGATGCCTCATGTAGAGGCGAAACACGTGTTTAGGGTCTGTTTCTTCATAGTTGAGGCTAAGCAGAGTAGTTGTTAGCAAATTTTTTAATTTAGCACAAGTGAGGGGATACATATTAAGCCTACTATTTAATTTATTATATAGATGTTTTGATTGATGGAAAATTGTTTTTTCTTAAATTTGGTTTTACAATATGGAATATTGAAAACAGGTAAAATTCTACGTTTTAGTGTCTGAGGGGCAGTGTATGGTAAAGTGCCGTGGGTTCGAATGGCACTCTTTAAAATGTACATTTGGCGGGTTGTTAAGATTTTGTAAGAATTGTGTAGTTCATGAGTTGGAAAACGGATTGGTTTAAAGAACATCACTTTCAGTAATGCTCTCTGAGCCTTTTCAAGAGTTATTAAATAGGACTTAGCTGCTCCACCTCAAGCTGTAATGCAGTAGCTTAAGACAGATTGGGCTAGTGCTTTATACGTACATATAAGGATTTTATTATCTGCGACATGTCTGAGCCTTCTAAAAACCCACATAAGCTTTCTTACCTTGTCAATGGTACACTCAATTTGTTTGTTCCATATAAGATGCTGGTCAATAGTGATGCCTAGATAATTAATAGTAGACGATCTAGCAATATCAACACATTGACAATTTTTCGCCTGGTGTTAGGAGCAGCTATGAATTTTGAGAGCAAAGTCCGAGTGTGGTAAGGTAGATTTTCGTATCGTAAAAGGAACAAATTGGGTTTTTGATACATTAAGTGTTAATAGATGTGATTTTAAGTAATTTGATATATGTCGTAATCCTGATTCAGTCGTAATTCTAAGAGAATCCCAACTCTTTTCACTGAAAATCAGCGCGGTATCATCCGCATAGGTAAATATATCGCAATTGGGAAGTTTAAGACTACAGAGGTCATTCACATATTTCAAAAACAATGTCGGTCCGAGTACACTGCCTTGTGGAACGCCGTAAGTAATGGGAGATGACTGGCTGATAACGTCACCAAGTTTTAGATGCTGTAGGCGATTCGTTAGGTAGAATAGTCTAGTATATATAGTAGTCTGTGAATAGCTTATGGGGTGTCCCTCTTATGCCAATGTGATAAAGCTTATGTAATAATATTGGAATTGAAACAGAGTCGAACGCCTTTGCAAGATCCAGGAAGACGCCGACACATTTATAGCCTGCATCTAGGTGCTTACAGATAGTGTCGGAAAGTGCCAGAACTGCGTCTTCAGTGGAGACGCCATTTCTGAAGCAAAATTGATTATTTGATAGCAAGTTGTTTTTGTAAAGGAATTCGTTAATGCGGTTGTTATGAGCTTTTCCAAAATTTTTGCCAGAACTGGAAGTACAGAGATAGGCCTATAATTTTCAATTTCATCTTTATTTCCACCTTTATAGATGGGTGTAACAATAGCTTTTTTGAAAACAGGGGGGAAACAGCCTTTGTTGAAACAGAGGTTATACACATGACAAAGGACGGGCGTGAGATAATTTTTGGCCATTTTAATAAAAGTAGTAGGAATGTTATCCCACCCGGGGGCGGAGTCGTTAGATAAGTTACAGATGATTGTATTAATTTCTGCTGTATCTGTTGCTAAAAGAACTAAAGAATTGCATGAAGAGGGACATTTAATATTATTTATGCCACGAATAGAATTATAAGACATAGGGGACGATAATAAGTTTTCAGCCAGACGTTTACCTAAGTTAGAGAAGTAATTATTAGCACAATTTGCAGCTTCCATCGGTGTGGATTTAAGTGAGAGTAGGTTATGTATGTAGTCATTTTTATTATTGTTTATGTTACATATAGATTTTAAAGTTTTCCACAGTAATTTAGGATTTTTATTAGCCCTCGTTAAATTGTTTCTTTCGTGCATTATTTTAAGTTTTCGAACAAGTTTACTACAATAATTTCTATAGCGTGTATACGTTACTTTCAAGATTTCATTATACGGATACTTTTTTTAGTTTTAGATGAAGTTTGTCGCGATTGCGAAGGCAACGTAAAACTCCAGAGGTTATCCAGGGCTTGATATGTATCTTTCTTGAAGGGACACTTTTTATAGTTTGGTTGTTTTTAATCGCAGTGGAGATTTTATTAACAAAAACCTGGGCAGCTTCAGAAGGGTCTGTTATTGTTAATATATCAGGTAAGTCCGCCTTAATGTCATTCAAAGTGGCATCAAAATTGATTGAAATTTTGGTTTTTAGTGCCAGATTGCGTCGCAGAGGTTCAAACATTCACATCAAGAATGACTGTACTGTGGTCAGTGGTAGGGTTAGTAAGAACAAGTAATTTAGCAGGGTGAGACGTTTTCAGCATCATGTGATCATAGCTCATTTTATCACGGGTTGGGAGCCTGTGAGCTGGGAGTATCCCATAATAAGCGAGTGATGTAAAATAGTTATGACGGTTTGGATCTTTAGAGTGGATTTTGATGTCGATGTTTATATCACCCGTTATAATAATATTCGGATAGCAATTATATTGTATGAGAAGATATTGAAGGGATGATACGAATTCGTCAGTATTTCTAATAGATGGAGTGCGATAAATGCCGATTATAACAGTATCGTAAAGAGTCAAAACAAGGCAGGACGCATTTGTAATGTTCGGTTCCAATACATTGATGCTTAGATTATTTTTTACATAAAATACTACGCCATCACATTGGTTTAAGATATTTTTTGTAAAGTGTGTGTTATAATTATCATTTAGTATGGGAATACTTTTTATTTTTGAGAGATGACATTCAGTCATAACTAGCACGTCGAAATCGGTTTTAGTTGAGTGGAGCATAGCTTGAAAAATTACAAGATTTTTGTATATACTCCTTTTGTTTTGGATAAGAACGGTTAGGTGACTTTTGTAGAGATGTGTAAATAACACTCTTCAGGCGTGCAAGTGACGGTCTGAGTTATACTAATATTGTCTAAAGCATTATACGGATGGGACAAATTATCAATAAAAAAATAGGTAGTTTTTTTGTGTGTAATGAATTTGTCTAACAGGTATTAATTTAATATCATTTGTATAAAGGAATTGTAGGTAGCTGATTACCACGAAAGAATAAAAGTGAAAAATAATATTCCTACATTGGTTATTCCAGACTCTCAGATCAAAGTTAATTATTGCAATCAATCTACAGTGTGACTGCAAGGTATTATGTTTAGCTAGCAAAAAAGAACTTTTATGGAGAGGTGTGTGAGTGTAATATGTGTTTGTGTGTTGGAGTAAGTATTAAGGTAAATGTGAGACAAGAAAAGTGTGTAATTTATGAATGAGTAACTGGCAAAAACAGAGTTAACAGAACATAGGTGCAACATACAGCTAAAAAAGTTAAGTATATAACCTATAATAATTGCATGAACACTTTGAAAGACATGGGTCCACTTGAAACTAAGTACACAGATCATGCATAGTCATTTGTTGGCCTCATAAATACCTTTTATTTGTGCTTCATTCATAATTTTTATGATCGGGGATGAGTCATCTTTCCGCACCAAAACTTCACCTACCGAGGTCCAGCAATATTTATACTTCAGGTTTTTTGACAATTCCCTCGCTAAGTAGTATAGTTTATTACCATTAGGTGTGAGATGGTCAGAGATAAAAATAGGCGTACATGTTCCCTTTAGATCTAGGTTCTGGGTATTTAATTTATTATTCTTATTATGGTTATTGTACTTTTTAGCGGCGCTCGTAATGTTCATTTTCTGGACATAAGTTGACATTGCGACAACAATAGGCTTTTTATCGCCCTTTATGTTCGTCCTGTATATATCCTTAATGTCATTACTTTGTATATTGGCCTTAAGTGATGTAGATAAATTGCTTACCATGCTCAACAACATTTCTTTGGATTCCTTTACCGATCTTGGGACATTTTTCAGTTCAAATGAACATTTACGTTGGGCTTTCATGATATTTTCCACCTTATTTTCAAGTATAGTAATATATTCCTTCTGTTTATGCCTCTCTTGCTCCATAAGGTCCACTTTTTTACACATGTCGTCGTATTTGGTTGAGAGAAAGGTCAGTGATTCCTCTATGGATCTCAACGCAGATGTTATTTCTGTTCTTTCGCTGTTTTGTTGATCCATCCATGAAGTAATTTCTTTCATTTCTGCCTTAAAGTCCGCTAAATCGGTCAGAATTTCTTCGGAGCGCTTTCTCTTAATTCGTGAGCTGACAAAACTGGGAGGCGATGTTTCTTTGTCGTCGGGGATCTTAGGCAGGTTGGAATCAGAATTGCATTTTTCCGGTGTTCGAAACATTTTCAGAGCTCTCTTACGGCCTCAAACTTATTTTTCCCTCAACGAAGTGTAGAACAAATTGATAGGTTATATTTTATAGTCTAGAGTTACGGCGTCACTTGTAGTAAGTGTGTTGGCAGGTGGTAGGTGTGCTTCAACTAATGTCGTAGTCTCGTAGCACGTATTTCGTAGCGAACGTAGTAGCTGTGGCTACGGCGGTTGACGTAGTTACAGCGATCATGCAGGGAGGAAAGAGATGAAAAACAAGCACCAACCGTCTTCTTTTGGCACCGCTTGCTGCGTCAGTGAGCAAAGATGCGATGCAGGAACGAGAAGGCAATTATTGAGTCTACTATCTCATCCGCACGTTCCCCACCGCAGCCGGTCGCTGGTGTTGAATTGTCAAATGTTCTTAAATATTATTGATAATGTTTAACTATTTTGAGTTTTATTGGCACACGCGATCGCGCTTTCGGCGAAATCACGGAAGGAAGAGGAGCCTAGAGTTTTTATTGTGGTAGTCCCTCATTATAGTTGTATCAAGGATGCAACATAAATACATCGATCGAGTATCTATTGACCAGAAATGGAGTTAATTCCAATTTTATTTAAAAAACGCGGTACTCATGTACAATGCAGAAATTCTCGATATCGTAAGGTTAATATTAAAATGTAAAAGGAACCAATAATAAGCCAAGTCGACCTTTAGGTACAATTATGGTATTTTCGCTTAGTATTATACGTATGATAATATGTACCACAAAACTATGTAATAATGGTACAATATAATCCGACCCTGGTTACGTCCTGTTTTGATATGACGTTTGTATTCTGACAGATGCGCTACTTTTTCTTGTAGGAAAAAGTTATGAGTAAAATATTTAGATGGGCCTATCCTTTCTTTTGAAATCATTGTTTAAAGAATAATATATTAAACGCTGGAACTGATATTTCATCATGCAGTACTATTTTTGAGTAAAATAAAATGAAATCCCTAACTAAAGGAACCTTAAAAATATATTTGGTATACTTACGAGTCCCCAGAAATGTAAAACTGTAGTTTCGAGTTTAAAGCCAAGCGCTTTTGATGAAGTTTTGACTAGCAATGAAGAATTACGGCGGTCAAAAAAGCGGAAGTAAATAAATCTATACCTAAATTTAATACTCGAAAATGCGAGAAAAAAAAACAGGACAGTCGTAAAGTAATGAAAAAGTATTTGAACCAAAATTAATTTAAAAATTAGAGTGAGTAGAGACAGTCCATTATATGATTTTTTTTGTTTACCATTTCCCCCTGACTTTTAATAAATTTATTAATTTGGTTACAATTACCCTGAAATATCATAATTTTTATCAACTACCCTAGTATTGCTTTCATATTGTATATACAGAAAGTTTTGCTTTGTTTACATTGACCCCATATTACAAATAACACTTCCATCTGAAAGCAATATATAGAATATAGAAGTGATAAACAAGCATACGAAAAGTAAAAAAAGGTATATTTAGACAAAGAACACAATTTTCATCATATCCATTTACTCCACTTTTTAACAAAATATTTAAAATAAATGGGGCAATTGTAAATACTCAACTTCAAAAATGTATAATACCGTGTATATGTAAATTACTATTGTATACCTTTTGGTCTAGTGGTTGTAGTAGTATGACTACTGATCATGAGGTTCTGGGTTCGAATCCCGGGTCGGGCTAAAAAATCAATTATTGAGTTTTTCTGTCAAGAAATTCTCAGTAGCTGCCCGGAGTCAGGAAGTTGTCGGTGTCTCACCCCCGTGCCCCGGAAAGCACGCAAAGCCGTTGGTCCTGCGTCTCTCCGGTCGTGTCGGTTTACCGTCCCATCGGATTGTGAGAGTGAGAGAATAGAGAATGCACCTGTGCTTGCGCATACACTTGGGCACTATAATCCTGTCCTGCACCTATGGCTAGCCTCAGTTGAGGCAGGCCACCGTGACCGAAATTCGGTCTGGAGGACATTATTATTTATTATACCGTTTGCAAAACGTTTCACTACTATATGGTACATTTTCACTGTCACATAATATATATTTATTTGCTATGTTTTTATGGCAATTAGAAAGCTTGTAAAGTTTTTTTTACTCACGGTTTACAATTACCACGGCTGACTCTATGACAGTTTATCTAAAAAAAAACTTTTGCTAAATCCAAATGTGCATGCCTTAAGCGCTTATGTTATACGTCAATTTTTTAAAATACTTTAAATACACACCAGTTTTCACAGAATTTTTCACAAATAACCTTATTACTATCATTTCTAATTTTCCGATAATTCTAATCAATAAAAAAGTTTTGAGAATCCAAAAGTGCACGATTCCTAATGCTTATATTATCGTGAAAAATATAGACAAAAATTCTCAATCAACAATAGAATTGTGTAGAGCCATGCTGCAACCATATTAATTTTATAGTCGTAGCATGAATGGGTTAGCTCGACCGGGGAAGGACCACGCTCTCACAGAATACCAGCGTCAAATAGCAGCTTAATGCTGCTGTGTTTCGTGTGGTGAGTGTAGAGAACCGGAGATCCTTTTTACTCGAAAAAGGCATTCCATCTTAGTCCTTAAGACTGACAACGCATCTTCATTTTGATTCGCAAACCAGGATAGATGTAGATGTCTATGGACCACAGCAACCACTTACCATCATGTGGACTGTGTGCTCGCTTGTCACCCTTTTCCTATAAAAAAAAAGAATTTTTATTTTATTTTACTTTGTTAATATTGTTGAGATTCAAAAACTTATTATTATTGTTAATTGAAAACTTTTAATACAGTAATCCTAATACAATCGGAAATCAACTGTAATATAACTTAAATTTTTAGGTATTTGTACTTTAGCATTATCGTAAGAACTAGTCTTTTTTTACCTAACTCGTTAGTAAATTATTTTTCATAAACTTTATTTCGTTTTCAAAAAGTTTTTCACCTAGTCATGACCAATATTTTAATTTAGCATTTACCAAAGTACACCTTCAGGTCACTTCATAAAGTCCAAGACGTGAGTATGTTTATGTATAATTCGTATACATAAACACTCACGCCTGTCCATATATAATTCCTACGTAATTTTACGTAATGAAAATCGAGGATTATAAAAATAACAACAATATTGTTGCACGCCTAAGTTAACGTCAGGTACCTAGCACTAGCGCCATCTAATGTCGGGGACCAGAGCGAGGAGGGCTTCCTAGAAAATGTCAATCTTGAACTTTCGACCAACAGCGCCATCTAGTATCGAACAGAAGAATTAAGCTTTCTAGAAGCCCCACTCGAACATTCTGCATCTGGTCGGTCGGCGCCCGTATCTACTGGAATATTCTGGATGTTTCGGTAGAAAATGTGTATTTAAAGTCGCTGCAACCTGCGATCGGGGCAGTATTGAATTTGGCGAGACAAGCGAAGCTTCGGAGCGAAATAAAGTGAATCAGTGTGATTAACTATTAGTGTTTTAAGTTTTAATTGGTGTTCGGTAATAAAAGTGTAAATTTTGGTAATTCAATCGGCAGTTGTTATTGTCACGAACCCCAAGTATAATATCTTACCTTAGTCAAGTATGTATCAAAATTAGTTTTTGGAATATTTATTATTACTACAGCGATCGATATTTTTACATTACGAGCCTCTGTAAACAAACGATACAGTAATTCACTCACGATGGTGGCCCAGACCGCAGGTAGTCAGTGTACGAAATAGACATATGTATCAATCTTATCGTTTATTTGACCTAAGTCGCATCAAAGTATTAATGATTGCAATTACATTTTTGAACGTTCCGGATCAAACGGTTGACAGTACCTATGACCAAGAGTATAGTTATGTCCGACGATCAGCATTATCGAGCGGGTCTCACAGATGACGAAGTACTGAACCTCGAAATGATGCATTTGAATGATCGACCCGATTGATCCGGTTCATAAGGCGAATCAATATTTGAGTGATCAGGTCACTAGAAATGAATGAATGACTCATGTCTAATACGAAACTTCGTAGGTATGAGCTGTCAAAATTATCAAACTAAATTTGACAGATTAGCAAAAAGTATAAGTAAGTATATACAGGAGTTATTAGTTTGTGATAATAGTGGTTAATATAGCGCATAGCGCCTCACTATTTCGCATCTATGCGAAATATATAGCCATATTAAAGCGTTCATCTCTCCATACGAGTAGCTCATAGTGCGGGCTATGTAAGTAGCCGCCATGGCGCTATTTGATATCCAGCGGCAACTAGTTCTAGCAGCAGGGCTGTTAGGAGTGGGCGTGTGACAAAAATTTGATCTGGTAGCACGCTATTCATCGCAGGCGACCTAATTTAGTGTTAGACATTGTTAAATTAGAATATCATACTTTATATTTATGATTATAAGTCATCGCAGGATACGGTTATCTGCTACAAAAGCAGCCTAACCTAGCACTTCTTATTAGCTTGTGAGCCTAACTAATGTTTTTAAATATAAATAGAATATAGATAGAAAAGTGTATAATTAGTGTGTGTAAATAGGTGATTTTTGTATATACCATCAATAAACTTTAAAATACGAATTTATTTGATTGATTAGTGATTACATATTAATTCCCGACGGATCCGAAACGGATGCTTTATAGCACCCATGGTCACAGGGGACTTGGTCATGGGTTCTGGAAAGCACTCAGAACGTCGGGAATTAAAAATAATTTAAATTAAACGCGATAAAATCCGTAAAAGTAGTTTTAATCAATGTGTAATGTTCGCGTAAATTTAAGAAATCATTACGTCTTTATTTGATATATAATTTACTTTAAGGTTAATAACGTTTACATCGATTATAGACAGACGTAAGCCTGAAAAGTATGAAAGAGTCTATTATTGACTTCACTGCTTTGTTTTATTTTAGTCTAAAATGCAACTTATTACGAAATAATGTTCTTGTATAGCACGCGGTCTATCCAACGAACGACAAGTAATGTAAGGTGCTACGAGATTTAGAGTGCTGTAAAACTTTAT